ATACATATATACACCTTACAACAATCCTCTTTTTGAGTTTTGTAAAAGAACCTAAAAAACAAATAATATTCACACACTGTTAGAACTTCACTGACTGTATTTTATACCTTTAGTCGAAGTGCTATGCTGATTTTTCAAGTCCAAAGTACATGGTTATGTTATAAAGAATATGTTTTTGTACTACAAATGAAATATTAAATTAGTTAATACGTAATAATATATAAATAATATAAGACAATAATAGACATAAAGTTTCAGTTTCCACAGGTTTAGATTCATTTATATATGCGTGTAGTGAGGGATTAAGAATATGGAGTGTCAACCCCCCTATTCATCCCGTGGGTGTCGTAAGAACCGACTAAGCTGCAAGCTATACAAGACAACAGCACAGCAAAGAGAAGGATAACTCGACACAAACCGCATACCAACCCATCTGTCCAGTATGGTATAGTGGACCAAAACCTCCTTTCTAAGGGAAGACTGGTAAAGACTGTTGATGATGAGGTATAGATTTAACCAGCACTGAATGATTTGACAACAACTTTGGAAATGACGAACTCCCATACAACCGTTCATCCCTTACTTTACCTAATTTTTAAATTGCCAGAAGTTTTCTAAGTGGGTGCTTACAACATAAAAAGCATCAGCTGCCAGTATGTCCAGCTATGTATGTAGGGTCTGCAGCCCCTACGTTTTAGACTCTTCGTTGATAAGACAGTCAGTTCGGGCAAGTTATTTTCTATGTATAGATATTGAATAGCATTGCAGTATGTTGTAAATCTATAATTAGTAAATAGAGTTGGTCAGTGCTAGTCTGGCAGGTAGGCGGAACTCGTCTGTCCTCAGCCAGGGTTAACAGTGTAAACACAAAAAATAGGGTTGTCACAAATTTCATTTTATTATTTTTAAATGGTACACATTCATACCCACGCGTCTATATCCCGTAGGGGTAAGGATTAGACAGAAGCGTATTAAACGCCAGAATTTTGTTTAAAAAAAAACCTGTCTGTCTGTTTATTCCGGCGTATCTTCGAAATGGCTGGACAGATTCTTATAAGATTTGAATAGCAGGTAGCTGACTATATTAAAACAAGTACATACATACATTTTTTCATTTTCACGAAGGCACGGGTATTAGCTAGAAGTACAATAAGATTGTGTCCTATTGTTAAATTAAATTGTTTAACAGCCCTGATATTACGTATCTCATTTCACTATAAGTATACCTGTTACTATGTTCCAATTTTCTTATTCTTTTTTAATTATTAAAAGTCCATGATTTTGGAATACTTAGTTATGAAGTCACTAGCTGACCCATTAATCTTCATATGCGGTTGTCAAAAGGAATACATTTTGCCTGTTTTTGTAACATTTTTTTTTCATTCTAGGCACCTATTAGTCGTAACGTGATGTCACACAGCCTCTCTCGACAAATAGGCTATCCAACACTAGTAGAATTTTTCAATTCGAGCCATTAGTTCCTGAGATTAGCGCATTCAACTAACCAAAAAAACTTTTATAATATTGAGTGAGTTTAAAAAAAAAATCGACAATACGTTTCGAGGTTTAATAATAAAACTATTTGATAGGACAGTCAACTTTCGAATAGTGCCAGCCCTAACGGCGTCTGTACTTGGCAGGTAAATGGTTAATCGTAAAACAGAAGTGGGTAGGTACATGATGCAGACTGTTACAATTACACAACTTGGTGTGATTATCTTTGAAGGCGTCGCCTAATGTTTTTATTCTTCCGCGTTTGCTTTTTACTTCATATTAGCTTCACTTGTATGTTTGTTTGTAACCGACTCCTTTGGGCGTGATTTTGACTGACTTGAAACGGTGAGAATTCGTTTAAACTTTGTAGATATATCGAGGATCGATGACAATACACTAATTAAAAAAAAATAGTTTAAAAAAACTAAAAACACGCTTTTTATAGAAAACCAAACTAAAAAATAGAAAATAAATTTTAATATATTTGAAAAAAAGCGTGGGGTGCTTTTACTATTGACAACATTCACCCAAAGCTTTTTTTCAAATTAGCAGGGAGCAGCATACTTATAAATGTAAAAGTAAGTAAGTTGTTTGTTTGTTACGCTCTCACGTCTAAACCACTGAACTGATTTTAAGCCTTCTTTCACCAAAGGAAAGCTACATTATCAGCGAGTAACATCCGCTACTTTTAGATCAATTATGCCCAGACAGACAAATGATCGTACTCATCATACAATCAATATTTGTCCTAGGTGAGAATCGAACCCAGGACCTCTGGCTCAGCAGTGTTAGTAGTCACTTGTTGTAATATAACGAAAGAATTGCCCAACATCGGTTTTCTGTGAGGCCTTCTTGATTTACGGACTTTATACGGAGTGTCACCACCCCTATTCATTCCTTGGGTATCGTAAGAGCTGACTAAGGGACCAAACTACGCAGGAAAAAATGCAAAGAGAAGGAAAACTTGACACAAACCTTACACCAACCCGTCTAGCCAGCGTGGTATAGTAATCTAAAGCCTCCTTGATGCTGATGACATCTTGATTTTGATTTCTTACCAATACATACATGTCTTGTGACCCATTTTTGTCGTTGCTGTGTGCAAGTCGTTACATGTAGCGCAGCAAATTAAAAAAAAAAACATTACATAAGAATAGTCACAGCCCAGAATTCCGCAAATATACGAATATAAATAGTTTTCTGGATTGTAGTGTCACACTCTGTGTTCAAGGTTGAAGAATTTTTATACTAGCATTTTGGTTTATAAATATTTGATGTGTAAAAATTTTACGTGTGGTGTCGAATTAAGAATACGGAATGTCACCACCCCTATTCATCTCGTGGGTGTCGTAAGAGCCGACTAAGGGAGCAAACTACGCAGGACAACAACACTGCAAAGAGAAGGAAAACTTGACACAAACCCTATAGATACCAACCCGTCTGGCCTGCGTGGTATAGTAGGCCATAACCTCCTTTCTAAGGTTATTTGTGTGACTGTGGCATCACTTCCGCCCATGTGCTGACGCATGATTCTCCCTCGATCTTCAGCTAAGGTTGCGCACAATGAGTATTGGTTAAGTGGTTATGAGAAACAAAAGATCTAACATACTGACGTACAGGTTCAAACTCATAATGACTCCTTTTCGGAGAGTCGTCGTTGTTGTCGGGTAAAACTAAGATAATTGACTGTTTTCTGAAAACAATTTGTGGTACTAAGTGGAACTAAGTCTGGGCCTTTAATCTCGATGATATCATGCGAAGGCATCCAGACAGAACAGTGTTTGTAAGTCTACAGTATTCATTGAAGGTAATCTTATCTAAATACTTTTAATATGTCACGGGATCATGACCTGAACCCAGGCTTCTGAATTCTTTGTTGCACTTGTTAGTAGATGTGTCTTGAACTTCACAGTTTAGTAACTCCGAAGATACTCGTAATATAAGACAGAAATGTACATGATAAGAAATATATATATATATCGCGGCTCCGTCTGCGTGTATGTCAGTTATAGCGGTAAAAACTAGCCTATGTTACTCGCTGATAATGTAGCTTTCCATTGGTGAAAGAATATTGAAAATCGGTTCAGTAATTTAGGCGTTAAAGCGTAACAAACAAATAAACTCACTTTTACATTTATAAGTATGGATACTATTATTGTAAGGCTGAAGAGTTTGTTTGTGTACTTGGGTGGTTCAACGCGTTAACCTCAGGAACTGCTGCTTCGAAATAAAAATTCTTTTAGTGTTGAATAGTCCATTTATCGAGGAAGGCTCTAGGCTAAATAGCTATACGCTACGGCTAATAGGAGGACAAAATGGGGAAAATTAGAGGGACGAGGACGAAGCCTAGTTCTCAATTCAAACAAACTCTTTAGATTTATAATATTTTAAGATTTGCTAACTGTATACTGAACTGATTAAAATGACACGCGATGTTACAGCACAGACTAAAATATCTCAACAATGTTCCATTGATTGCATTTATGTATTTAAGACCAATATTGTAACATCAACTTTATTGATGAAAAATATCATCATCAACAGCCTAGAATAGTCCACTGCTGGACATAGGCCTCTCCTTAGATAGGAGGTTTTGGCCTACTATACCACTCTGGCCAGACGGGGCCTGGACCCCCCCTAAAATAGAAGCGCAAAGAGGGCACACCGTGTGGTTTTAGTCGGTTCAAGTCCGACACACCGCCCCGCCGAACAGAAAACCCCGGCGGGGTGACGGTCTGAGGGAATTTCCACAAGTTAAAAAAAAAAAAGGGTTTGTTGCAAGTTTTCCTTCACTTTTTACAGTGATATTGTCCTGCGTTGTTTATTCCCTTAGTCGGCTCTTACGACGCCGAGAGGATGAATAGGGGTGGTGACACTCTGTATTCTTAGTCCGTCACCACACGGTTGTTATAACTAACTAGTTTCGCGCTCGCGGCTTTGCCTGCGTGTCTGTCGGTTATCGCGGTAAAAAGCCTATGTCATTCCTCAAAAGTCAAATTATCTCCATACCAAATTTCATCTAAAGCAGTTCAACGGTTATTTATTCCCTATACAAACTTCCACCTCACTTTTCACCCCTTTAAAGAACGATTTCTGGGATAAAAACTGTCCTATGTCCTTTCCCGAGACAAGAACTATTTCTATACCTAGTTTCATCTAAATCAGTTCAGCAGTTTAAGCGTGAAGAAGTAACACACAGACATACTTTCGCATTTATAATATTAGTATGGAGTAAGGATATCATAGTTTGCAAAACATGATCATTTAATACGTTTCTGCTTACCCATCCAGGCATATATTCGTGAATATTTGTATATAAGAGAGAGTCGGGGCTAAAAGGTACCGAATAAGTTAGAACATTGCAAAGGTTAAGCAATCATAGCCAGGTCAATGTATGGATGGGTGATCACACTTAACACATTGCACGGAGAGCACTTTAAGCCGTCGGTCCCTAAAACATGAGATGAAGTGACTTAAATACCATAAACAATAATTGTTTTTCTTACCCGTTCGCTGCCACAGAGGTCTCCTTAGCTGAGACGCCATTGAAATGAATTCGATTTTCAACTTCACCGTCCACTAATACATCAGTCATCACAAAATTAACCACATGCCTATTTAACTGTCGCTTCAAATACTTAATTTCACTCATAGTATTTCTGTCTGTATCATTTTTATGTATATGCCTAATATGTACGCCATTATGAATTTGTAAACTGTCAATGTCATTATTGTCGTTTTCCCGCTCACAGTTTGTGGTGCCTAATAAAAAAAGTATCAACAGAGGCGTTTTGAACATTCGGCCCCACGATATAAGCTTATCTATGCTTGACTTTTTTTTCGCTTTTGGTGATTTCAACTCCATTTTTAACCTGAAACAATTGAAAAGTTACGATATTAATAAAAAATGTTACTTTAAAATTAATAAAATCTGTTTTTTTTTCTTATTGACTGAAGTTGCCATAAGAGGATGACAACAAGGTTTGACTGACTTTGCATAATACATACAATATTTTAAAGATGCATGCAAATTTTTTGCAGAATACATACTACTGTATGTAACTTGGCACGTATATCTGTAGGTGTAGGTATTTAGTACGTATATATGTATGTATATTTATCCCTTTGTTTTCATCCAACTTCTCAATAATTTTCTCTTTCCTTCCTTTAAAAGCATGTCTAGGGCATCTATTTACTCATTTACGCACTACCCTAAGGTAGACTGGGAGAAAATGCCTATGGCATTAAGTTCGCCATTGTACAATTCTCATTTGTGCATAAAGAATTAAGTGAAATAAAAAAAAAAGATAAATATACTCCAAAGCTACTAGTCCTACCGAAAAACCATTTGAAGAGCAAACTAATTTGGTTAGGTGAATAATAAACATCACTTTATGTAAAAACTGATTCATGACATACGGTTTAATAATCATCATCGGCACCTTCAGCCGTATACCACCAGGAGAACAGGAGTTAGTAAAGTAAAAGAAAACGAGAGATGTTTCATACAAATCTTCCTACTAATTCGGTCACGACGGAACAGATGAACGTATCTTTTTTTTTTGAAAAGACAACTCCCGCATTAGGACTATATCATGTGGGGACTTTACAAACATACATGAAACGGACACAAAGAACACCCAGACTCAGAACAACAATTTGTGGATCACACAAAGTGTCGTCCTATGTGGGGTTTGAACCCACAACACTCGGCGTAGTAGGAAGCGGCGTGGCGACCGCTTAAACCACTACGCCATCCGTGCAGTCATCAGTCAGTATCTGGATGAACTTTGAAACAGAGGCAGGCCATATCCTGGATTAGCACAAAGATTACTTGTCTTTGTCTTATCGTGAGCGATGTCGCGGATAAGGACTAGTGCATGCTTAAAGGCGAACCAGTTGCAGGTTATTATGTCTTTAATTATTAGTGCGGTAGTCAAGATATTACGGATAGAGTGACTAGTGATGAAAATTAAGTGGAAACTTATTTAAACACAAATTAACATCAATTTGCAAGTATAATATGTCTATATAAGAGATGAAACGGATACCTATTAATATCCGGTTTCCGGTCAATCTCGAGGCCGGATATCTATTTTATACTCCTGGTTTTTTATAGCAGAATTAGAAAGTAATTTTAATTCCTTCAATCAGTCTAACTACTCGACGAATGATTTAAGACATATTAGTATAGGGTTTCTCTAACACGGACAGACAGAGAGACAGAACTGACAGACTACACGGATGGCGTAGTGATTTAAGCGATCACCTCGCCGCTTCTTACTGCGCTGAAAGTTGTAGTTTCGATCCCCATAGGGGACAACACATTGTGTGATCCACAAATTGTTGTTCTGAGTCTGGGTGTCCTCAATATCCGTTTCATGTATGTGTTTGTAAAGTACCCCGCGACACAGGATTTATTCCTAGTGCGGTAGTTGTCTTTTTATTTTAAATAAAGAAAAGGCTTAGTGCGGGATAGGGCCTTGTCAGGCAGGGCATCGATCCCGTCGCGGTGGGACTGAAATCACAAGGTCCGGGCCCTCCAGAGTAGAGCCTAAGGCCGGCCTTTGGGATATTTTTAAGTGGAAACAGCACATACTCCTAGCTCCTGTACCGTCACGATGGCCTCTCCAAGGAGCCGGAGAAGATATGAAGGAATTTTCGACGCCGTCAACAAAAATCTTTTTACAGAACTTCGATATTTTCTGTGAAGGTCTTTTGGCAGTCGCTCCGTGTTAAAAAAAGAAGTTCAGTCGTATCGTAGTTGACTTAAAGGCGACCCCAACCGAGTTTGGGAAAAGAGGATTTCAGTTGTTTTCAAGCTTTCGCAATTATACATTTCTACTAAAAATCATCGGGCAGTCGAATTCAGACCGTTTTGAATGTCATTTTCATTTCATTGACCTGTATACGATGTTTTTTCATTTAAATAATAAGTTAGCTAACGTTTTAAGTAAACTTCAAAACGAAGCTGAAAAAAATCGTTGAATCACAACATATTATTCAAAAATATCAATTAAAAAAAGTTTTATCTTACACAGTGATACGGAACCCTAAGTTTTGCATACACCACTTAGACTTATCTAGTTTTTTTCTATTTCTGTAATTTATGTTACAACCTGTACAAAAAATACACGTGAACACAATTAGCGGAAAACAAAATGGCTGACGCGACACCTAGTTGACGCCGTTTACTGTTACAACAGCAAAATATTCAGACGTAAAACGATACTTACAGACTTTGAAACATGAAGAGGGACGACCTCCTACGATGGTAACCATCCCAAGAACATACATCACTCATCATCAGAAAAACTCCACAATCATAAAATGTTCGTGTACGCTTCAAAAACTCAAAAAGTTGTACACCGATTGAGCTTAAATTTTGACACGACATTCAACACGCTTCAAATGATTTTTATATATTTTTACGTCTCTTATGTTTCTCATTTCCCTTCAATGCACATTGTGGTTGCACAGGGAACCTCACAAATCTCACACACGGCCGTCTGATCCCAGACTAGGCAGAGCCTGTACTGTAACCAGACTACTGATAAACATACTTATATATTTCTAAATACATACATATTAAAGAAAATTTACACCCAGACACAAAAGAAATGATCACGTGCTCATCAGTCATCCATCACAGTGTTATTTATCCTTGGTGGAAATCGAACCTTGAAACACGTTTAATTCAGCCCCTTTTTATCACCACCCACCAGTACGTGATTATGTCAGACTCGAACCGACCAAAACCCGCACGCCATCTCCAGGTACCAGTAGAAGGGGAACCAGGTATACCCTAAAAAGGAAAGCCCTTTTGTAATTCATCATCTAATTTTATTTTATTTCGTGAACGTGTTATCTATACAAATAAATAAAATTGGAGTGTCTGTTTGTAATATTAAAATAACCGCTTTTTACTAAATGCATATGTATGTTTACACGGTACATATGCCAAAATAACATTTTTTACAATTTTTGTCTGTCTGTCTATCGGTCTGTCTAACGTCTAACGCCGCGGGGCGAAGCTAGTCTAAAAAAAGTAGCCTAAGTTACTCCTTATGTCATCAGCTATCTGCCAGTGAAAGTCCCGTCGAAATCGGTCCAGCCGTTCCAGAGATTACCCGGAACAAACAGACAGACAGACAGACAGACAAAAATTGTAAAAAAATGTTATTTTGGCATATGTACCGTGTAAACATACATATGCATTTAGTAAAAAGCGGTTATTTTAATATTACGAACAGACACTCCAATTTTATTTATTTGTATAGATATAGATAATCACATTTTCAATTGTTAGCAATTTTCGTTGATCTAGAATACTCGTACGTAATAGACACGCCATTACATTATCTTCAAACCAATACGTAAACGTTACGTCAAACTATTGATACGAAACGTTATGTGTTTAAATGCAAATTAAGATAAAAAAGTGTTTTATGACTAGCTATAAAAGTTACATCATAATGTTGAATGAATGCGTGTGCGCAGTACAGTATAGTCTAGAATTTTACATCAATCGCCATTATCATGCTGAAGAGTAGGTAAGTTTACAATCGTAGGTTATAGGGGGCAAACGAGGAGACGGGCCAAATGATGGAAAGTGACTACCGTAACTTAAGAATCACAAGTTCATTGCGAGAAGGGGGGGGGGGAAGGGGGGGGGCGTTGGGTTCCGATAACCGCACTTCTTTTACGAAAATACCTTTTATGACAGTTGTGAGATCGAAAGTTGATCGGAACTGAATTGTGACCGAACTTTTATTACGAGAATTGACCTTCTGGCAAACCAGCCAATTCTATTTTAAGACACTGGCTATTTCCCGCGGGTTCGCTCGCGTGATTATGTCTTGGATGGATCTTTGACGTCTCTTGACATTTGTGTAGTAGTAAGCAAGGTTTGCCTGTAACACAAATATTATTATTAACTACTGGGAATAAATCGAATGAGCTGCGTGTTACAAATTCGTTGTCGCCATTTAAGCTCCTGCCTCCAGAATCAGAGAGAGGTTCGGTCCTAATCTTAAGGCGAAACAACTGCTAACACGAGTTTTCTGTGAGGTCTTGGCATAGCTCCGGTCGAAACTGGCCTATTTATGCCGAAGAATAAACCTACGGTTAAACGCGAAATTCAGTAAGTAGTTTATTTTTTTAAATACTTTTACTTAAACAATGGATTCGTAATCAATTCAAATGGTATGTTGTAACTTATGCACAGCGACCCCGTTCTTATTAAATGACCAGTATTCTAATTTATACCAAGCAACGTTTTACAATAAATCACTGTGTTTATTTAAAAACAAATTATAATTATTGCAATTCTGTGAAGAAACATCGTCTGCCTTTCCACTTATTCCAATTTTATTTCGGATCAGCGCAATATGTATGACTCTTCCTTTCTTCTCTATCAATCGTCATTTCACTGTTTAACCCTTTCCTAACCATATCCTCACTCACACATCACCTTTTCTTTGCTCTTCCTCTCCTTTTGTAGCCTTCAACTCCCATACCTAACACTTTCTTTTCCACATTTTCCTTATTCATGACATGTCATAGTAGGCCAAACCCTCCTTTCTAAGGTGAGGCGTATGTCGAGGAGTGGACTAGTAATGGCTGTTGATGATGACATGTCCATACCAAGATAACCTATTACTTCTTAACTTTTCATCCAGTGGTGCTACTGAGAAGAAATATATTAAAAATTAAAAAAGACATTCATTTCCTTCATACTAACACCGTAGGGAAAGTCGTAAACAAGCCCAAATCCTCAAGCTTTACCCTTATTGTTGACTCAAGGAGCGACAAGGCACTCTGTGACTTTTGAGTTTCAATTATCTATGTATGTCATCATCATCATCAACCT